GTATTTAAAACACGAGAAGGAGTGTTTTATCATATTTAAAACGCGAGGCGCAGCCGAGCGTTTTAGATATGATAAAACTCGAGTTTGAGTGTTTTGAATAGCTTAAAATACGACTACAAAAGAATACTAATTAGGATGAAAAATTATATAATCATACTAATTAGGATGAACAATTATATAAAGAATACTAATGAAGATGAGTTTTTTTCTTCGAGGTTCAATTTTTCTTTCTTTAATTTGTCTTTTAACAGCTGCAAGAGAAACTATCTTCTTGAAACGTAAACTAACAAGGCAGTTCGACGCCATAACATGCAGCCCCTGTGCCGCATGAAGCAAGAAGGTGTGCGCTTAATAGGGGTTCGACTGTATATATATATATATATATATATATATACATATATATAAAACATTTTCCGTGTTCAGTATACAGTTATATCAACACGAGTGGAAATTGGGAAAACGAGAAATTGTGTGGAAGTGTTTTCACACAATTTCGAGTTTTTCCAATTTCCACGAGTGTTGATATAACTGTATGTCAATACGGAAAAAATGTTTTATATTTGTTTTATAATATAGCACAAAGAAATATAAAGAAATTTTCCGTGTTGACATTGAGTTATATATCAACACGGCTCTTAGCCAATCAGCGTTCAAAACTTACAAATGCTATATTATAAATATATATATCATAGAAAACATGCTTTAATTTGAGATAGAACGTGATTTTATTACCTTGAAAACGGAACAAGCTTTTTTCAATGCTTCGTCTGATCCCAAAAATCCCCAAGCCAAAACTGGAGTGAGTATTTCAGAAAGATGATAGAAATGCATCAAAAAGCCCGCTGGTTCCTCTAACATTTGCATTTTAGCTTTTAAAACACCCCAGACTGCCGTTTCTAAACCCTACAAGATCAATAACATAGAAAGAGAAGTTGTTGGGGACCATCCTCGTATTCGAAGAGCTCTGGGTACGAGAATGATTGGGGACATGGTGCTTATTACATGTGTTTTAACAATGGATGACTCCAGCTATATAGACGAAATTTTTATCTAGACAAGAAGAAGATTACCATAGCTGGAAAGAGCATCTTAAAATGAGTAAAATGGCAAAGTTAGGTTGCGAATTGTTGTAAAATGAGGGAAATATAGCCCTGTGAAGTTCGCAAATTTTGTTTATTTGCATTACGCGCAGGAAAAATAACCATTTTTGAGCTGAAAGTTGTTATTTTTACCGCGCGTAATACAAATATATACAAAATTTGCGAACTTCACAGGGCTATATTTTCTTCATTTTACAACATTTAGCAACCAAACGTTGCAGTTTTACTCATTCTAAGACGTTCTTTCTAGCTGTCGTGTTGGATTTCGTTCTTCTTGCCTAGATCAAAATTTAGTCTATAGCAGGAGTCACCCATTACTAACTCGTTCTCTCACCGTTTGTTGAATATAAGTAGGTAGCCATGCGTTCTGTACAGCGGCCTGTATGGAGTACGGTGGATTCTCTAAGTCAACAAATGCGTCCATAACCACAAAGTCAAGAACTAGGTCGTAGAAGGTGATGTATGGTACCTACATGAACGAATATATTGAACCTTCATACTTCCATTATCAGTAATGTACAATACACCCTTTTGGAAAGTACATCACCTTGGCTAAAACCTGGTTTTTGAGGATATGACATTAGTTAAAGCTCAACTTCTCAACCACGAAAACGAGGCTCTATAGCCAAGGTGACCGGTACTTTCTGGAAGCATGTATTATAAAACACATTATTTTACAATATCCATGAAATACTACCACGACTAATTACAGCTGTAAAACTCCCGTGCAAGAATATAGCAGAAATAACATACTCCTTTTTTAATCAACTCTCTTTCGAAGATTTTAAAATTTTCAGGTTTCTTGCAAAATTCAAGCAAAGCTTTCCATCTTTTCTCGCATTCATGATGGTCCTAATAAGATGGAAAACAAAGTTGAATTTGATAAAACAAGGAAAACTGCAAAACCATGACCTTTAATATTAATACCTTTCCTGCAGTTGTAATTAAGAATCGAAGCAATTCGGTTGCGTTTCTTTCAAACTTCGTTTGAACATCTTCCTTAGCAAAAGCCATCTGCAAAAAGATTTATTTATTTCCATCACCAATTCAAAAGAAAATAGAATTAAATGAACAACACCTACATTATCCGCCTGAACTACGTGTTTGTTGGTATGTATACAAAGAATTCTTCCACATTTCTACCTTACACGCTTCTCGGATGCAATGAACTTTGGCCAGAAATTCAACTTCACTGGAACAACCCACCAATTTAGCTCTGAGAATAAACATAAATTTTCATTTTACACATGCATAGTTTAAACAGATACAATTACTACTTTACACGCTGGTTTACACGGAAAAAGTTATTTCGCTGACCTCAGAATGACATTTCGTCAAAATTTTTTTCTTCAAGATTGGTTTAGAAACAAACTTGGAGTAGGGTTAGGTTAGGATTATGGTTAGAGTTGATGTTTGGAATAGGGTTAGTGTTAGTAAAACCGTTGCTTTGTTACGTTTTGTCACTCTGAGGCCAGCGAAATAATCTCTTCCGGTTTACATTATCAAAGTTTCTGTGATCACAGTACGAAGTTCGCATCGGTAAATTCTAAGTTTTGAAGGATTTGTAAGAAATGTTTGAGGGAACTGACAATCCTTCAAAACTTAGAATTTACTTATGCAAAATTCCTACTGCGATCACAGAAACTTTGTTAGTGTAAACGAGGCTTACAATAGTGAAGATTGACGAGCTGAGTTTTGGCAGTGCAAGAAATCAGAAATTTCCTCAACAGATATTAACCAGTACCTTTTCTTACGACATTTTATTCCATGTTTAAAATAATGTTCTAATGCCATTAAATAAAATGGTTTATCTCTAAAACAAATAAGAACAAATAATAAATGTGGTGTGTAAATCTTCTTGGCATAAACATACAGAAATAATGCACCGAGCGCATTGTCACCTGTGAATACCAGCGACATGGAAAGCCTTCTGTTGTGCATGGTCAATTTTTGAGACACTTTGATTCACTTCATCCTAAACATTTGCAGCACAAATTGGGTCATGCCAGAAAACATACACACCTCCTTCATGGGAAATTGGAAGTTGTCCCCCCCCCCCCCCTCCTCTTGTGACAACCTGGTACATTATACACGTACGGTTGTGCCACCACCATAGATAGTAACAATAACACCAGAATGTTGCAGATTGAGAGTGATTTGACGAAGGGCCTTCACACGAACAGGGTGTGAGCCAGAAAAAAAAGTTTTGTCCGTTAAACGTAAATTGGGAAAGTTTTTTTGACCGATCAAAGTCCTTGTGTGGGAATAAATAGTGTTTTTTTCCAACGTGTTTCTCCTTAGATGCAAACAACGGTAGCTTGGTTTTGTACATTTCATTTCCGGTGAATTAACACTGAAAAACACGGATGCACACCGATTACACTTTGTTTTGTACATTTCATTTCAATGAATACACACCCAATATGAATGAAACGCGATACATTTTGAGAAAATAGTTAATGGGGAAAAGTAAACAAAACGTTCTTTGATATAATAATATAAAATCAAACGCAATGCACTTTCTCATCAGAAAAAAATATAATCCTCCAGTAGACCCAGTTGGGAAAGCCCCTTAGCTACTTCAATTGGGAAGAGTCCGTCAAACGGACAGTATATGGGCTAGCTAACACCCTGACGAAACGTCAAAGTTTTACGTGTATTTTTCGGGTCGTCAAATTCATTCAATCCACAGTTTTCTGGTACATTATATGTCTGTTAATCTCTATTGTATATAGATCTGTGTATCTACATTGTAATTCTATATTAGTAAGTGGACCACTTGCTTGTCAGTTGATATACTGTTTGGTGCTACCCTCATGAAATAAAGTTAATTGATTTTCATAAATTTCATGCATCGGTGGAGTGTGGATCTTTTCTGGAATGCCCTGTCAAGGATGGCAGCTCTCTAAAACGTGCTGGGAAAAGCACACTTGCCCACTTTTCAAGATTGGAAAGACTATTTAGGGCACATTCCTTCTCCAAATACTGTGAGTACAGTGGAGAATCTTGTGGCATTGGTTACCTCAAAAATTGAGTAAGCACCTGCAATTATTTGATCGTACATTTTTGGATGTGTGTCAAGGGGAAGGGAATCATGTACCAGGCTCAGGAGGTAAAAGCATTACTCAGCTTATTGTTAAGGTGTTATCACCCTACCTCCACATCACCCTCGGCAGACAGGAACGAGTCGGTGTCGGAATCATCTTCTCTTAACAATGACAGCTCATCAAAAGAGAAATCACTATGGCTGTGTTTGGTCTTTAACATTTGTCTATCAAGGTTTTAAGATGCAAAGATACCTAGTTCAATCATGTTATACTGTAACCATATCAAGCTGATATAATACCATACTTGAAAAAATATCATTTTCACTAAGCACTATTGTAAAGCAGATGGTCATCAACCTGAACTATCAGCAGGGACGCCGGAGCGAGGGTAGGGCACAGGGGGGCAATGTTGACGTAAGGGCGATCACTAATTAATATTTCGTTTCCGAAAATTTTTTCCCAGACCTTAATTCACCAAAACAAGGGCAAAAAATTTTGAAAACACAATTTTTGACACAATATTCCAGAAAATTTCACGTATATTTCAATATTACGTACATTTCACGCGTAATTCATACTTTTTAGTCGTTGTACCTCATATTTTTTGGGTTAGAATTTTTTATCTATAAGGGCACTTTCGCCCCCCCCCCCTTACTAAAGGGCAAGGGGGTGATGCCCCCTGCACCCCCCCCCCCTTTCCTTCGTCCCTGACTATCAGAGTGGGAAAATAATGCTAATTCTCTTCATTCAGTACATGTAGTTGTCTTGTATTTGGCAGAAAATAAATAGAATTTAGATATGCAGTTTACATAATTAATTGCCCCATTTCAACATTAACTGAAGTTGACCAAAATTGTCTGTCCCATAATGCTTACTGAACCTATCAGAAACCTTCAATTGACAAAACTGTTGTATTGCTTTATAGCTCTCTAACCTTAACTGATCTATTTTGCTGACGACATTATTTAACGTCCTATCAACTTTTTCAAAAATCAATCCAGAATTATGCAAACCAGCAACGTCCATTGCATCAACCTCGTCCAGGCCTTCAGCTTTATCTTTATTCCTGGTTCGAGAGACATTGTTTGCCAAAAAAATTTCTAATTCAGACAGGCTCTTGTTCCATTCCTCCAAGTGTTGGGCAAATTCTTCAAGACCTAAATTCCCATGTACTTTGTTAGGATTAACCAAATGAGTCACATTGTGTCCTGATGTGCCCTACTTTATTATTTTACTCTGTCTAATGCTGGATGATTTTATTGGTCAAGCGGACAGCACTTAACGGGTTACTAGGTTTCACAAATGGTGGTCAACCAGTCAGAGTGAGAAAATGATGTTAATTCTTTTCATTCGATGGAGTAGTCGTGTACTTGGTGGAAAATAAATAGAATGGAGAGATGTAGTTTAATAATCTTTGTTTCTGAAAGTTTAGTGAACAATTCTGAAATTGACCACCATCTGCTGGCTTGCAATGCTTACTGCAACCTACCAGTGGTTTGAAGGTTCTCCAAAACATTTCCAGCACACCCACATCACACACAGAGCAAAACCAGGCAGGCTGATATGAGAAGGGGGGGTGCAACCTTATACAACCACCACAGTTATGTTGGAAGTTCCAAAAATCAAGGAAATATTGATAAGCTTTTCTCAACACAACCATTCTGTGAGTGGGATGGGTGTTGAAGCTCAGTAAGTGGGGGAGGATTGGGGGAGGGCACATAATAATTTAACCCCCCAGAAAATCTATTTAAGAAACTGTTTAAACTACCAAATCAAAATATCAAATAGCTTAATTTGGTCAAAAATTACCGTGATTTTCAGTATATTTGTGTCTTTCATCTAAACATCCATGTTTTCTACCAGTGGACACTTGAAATTTTGCTTCACCAAACATTGCCTCATGATCTGTGGTTTGTAAGCTGGATTCACGTCCAAAACTGACCAAATACAAAGCCCCAGCGCCAAGCAAAAGGCTGTTAGTTGTCGCAAATACTTTAAAGAAGGGGGATTCTATTATACCGTTCATTTTAGTTGAAAATTTCTTGGTTTAAAAAATATACCAGTCTCTGTGTACCAGTGCTCACATTATGCCGATGCCCTAAATTTGTCCAGCCCGCGGAATTTAGATCGGGTAACGCAGGCAAACAAACCGGCCATTCCGGGGGGAAGACAAATTTAATGTTATCACTATGGTTATCACGGGGGGTACGAGAATAAATACGCACAAACTGTTAATCAGTATAGCGCTGTTAATTTGATCATGAAAATCTGAAATCCATCGCTGAAACTCAAAACAATACAACACAAGTTCAAAGAATTTTTTTAATCAATTTACAATTAACTATATGTCATTTACAGCTACATGTTAAAGCTATATCGATCTGACCAGCTTACCGCTATAAAAATCATTAAATAAAAAGCAATTCTATATTTTGCCACGCCACACGCGTTCAGCCATGTTTCATTAAATAAAATACACTGAGTTCACAACAAACTATAGATTTATCTGAGATATCTGATGTATCCATAACCCTGTAAAGTTTCAGAATCCTACGTTCGTGTATGCATTAGTTGGTGCTAATTTTAATATTGGTATTGTGACATGGCAAAGATGGTGTTCAACTTTTGAAATGTTTACACTTATAATCTATAAAGCAAGACAATTAAACTAATATTTCCAAATATAAGTGGGTAACATACAATTAATGACTTTCTTAATCCGCTAACTGCAGGTTAACCACCATCTACTGTACCATACTGTCACAGAATAGAGACAAACAGAAGCCCGACTTCTTACTTTTTCCTATGATTTTGGCATAATTCATCATCAAAATGCTGACGCCATGGTCCTAGCCAGTGCGCTTATGAGAGGCATTCACCCCCCTGATAATATTCAAAATGACGGACGTTCAGGGGGGGATGCTGATACTACTTAGCGAAACCCAACTATTGTTTGCATACTGTGTTTAATTTAAGAAACTTTAACCAACTCTAAAATCCCAAAACTTTACAGAGACGGTTTAATAAAGTCCACATAATATTTCTATGAATTTCATCTACAGCATAATTTTTTGCTTTGTTTAACAACTAGATATAAACTACGGAAAGTTATCTACATAAATCCCATTTTATACAATTTTAATCCAAATGCACCCTGCGACGCGTGGTCATACACGCGTGGTTACACGCGTGATGAACTACACGCGTGGGATTCAACGAGCGATGATACACGCGTGGGGTCACACGCGCGCTCTACACGAGGGCACACATTGGTTCATTTTTAAAGTTTTTTTTACAAATAATAACTACTTGATTTATTATACAAACGATTATTTCGAATCCTCAAATACAAAAATGCTTTTATCATATATTTAATAAAGGTTGTGCACACCCCCTGGAAATCAAGCCCTACCCCCTCTACATCTAGGTGCAACCCAATACTCTTGAATGCTATATAAACTAAACTACAACTATTACAATCTCGAAGACTTGAAGCCCGTGAACAAAACAGACTAAACAGTAAAAGGCTACGAATTAAAATGCTAGACATACTTATATCATACAGTCAATAAACACACTAGAACATTGCCATATTTCTAAATCAAGGTTCATTTACACCAGACAATCCGAAGTAGACCACCAAAACTCTTCCTTGGAGGCAGGGCAAAAGTGGTACTTGCAATTTCTGTGCTCATTCTTACTTCTCAATGAGGTCACCTGACCTCCTAAAAATTGCCTGTATTTTCGATCGACAACTGACAAAATACTTTAATTGAGAGCTGCCAAACGATAGCAATTTGGAACTAACATCTTTCAAAATATCTTACTAACAGTTAGCAGATGGCTTAAATTTTAGCTGGTAATTTAAATGCAAAGATCTGTTTAAGATTTCCTAGATTTAGTTGAGCCAGGTGGTGGAGTCGCATTTGTACCTTGGTAGAATTGGAAAATTAATCTACCACTGTATGGTATAAACGAACCTTAACACTAACCCTTTATGGTACAGACGATTCCAACACGTCAACGTTGAGTGGAGGTGAGGGACGTGGGGCACCACGAGGGACGATCTTCACTGGATATTTGAGAACCTCTGGGTCAGCACGAGGCAACATTTGTAAGCCATGCTTACATGCATCTTCGTACACCAAACTTTCAGCAAGACGGCGATCTTTTGATTCTTGATCTTTACTGCTTAGTTCTACGGCGCGTTCTTGGTGTTCCTTGTAAAGGCGTTCGTGGAGTTTGATCGTTTCTTCGTCTGTTACATATCTCACGTTCTCTTCCTCGTTCTGTACACGTAACGCCATCTCGTGGTCGTCTTCGATCTAAAACATGATCAAGATATTTTAGAGCGGTCCTCGATCGATCAATTTTAATCGTCAGAATCGATCATTCTGAATCAACATGACACCTGGATAACTTTCTTTCCGGATTGAAAAATTACGACAAGATGGTATTATCGATGTGATCAAACAACAAACGCGACTTGTTTTTCTATTTCTCTGCTGCCACTAACACTCTCATTGGCTGTCAAATAAAAACTTTAAAACATTCCTTCTTCTTGGAAGGGACATTAACCACTGTGATGGGTCTAGGTTTATTCAATACGATTAATCAATTTTAATCAATTGTTGATGACGATGAATCAATAATGAACCGAAGATGAGAGCAGCTCTTAAGATATTTCAATAATTAACTAAACTAGTTTTCTTTATCTATATTGTGGATAGTTCTATTATTTTTAAGCTGCCCGACTCTTCTCACAGGCAACTGAGGTGAAAATAACATAAGAATTTAAGAACTTTCAATGTACAAAATGTACCAGTGCCCTCAACAGACATTACCACACAGTAGGAGTACTGTTCCCCCCTGACCACAGCTGGTATGTCTATATCAGGTAATCTATAACACCGATAGACGGGGGTGCACACCTGTTTCATTTTCAATATCTCCTTTTCTTTCCTCTCCTCAAACGCCTGGCGTTCTTTCTCAACTTTCACACCATGTTCATCATTCTCCATATTCTGAAGCTCCAGAGCTATCGTAGCATCACTTGTTTGATCATCGTATATCTCCGAGGCCGGCGGTGCCGAGGGTGTAACGTCCGCGTGTCGGACCTCAGGTGAACCATCGTCGCTTTGCAGAGTGCGTGCAATCATCTCATCATCCTTGATTTGTTGATATCTGCAGTGGAAATTTGGCAAAAATAAGCAACGTAACTGACTAAACGTATGGTGAATAGATCTATCAGTTCTAAAGGTCCAGTAAGGGTAATCTGTTATTGATCCAGTGTTACTACAGGAGGAAACCTAAACTAAACTAACTTTATTTATACTGGATAGCTCTATCAGTTATTAAGAGGTCCAGTAAGAATCATCTGTTATTGATCCAGTGTTACTACAGGAGGAAACCTAAACTAAACTAACTTCACTTATAATGGATAGTTCTATCAGTTCTAAACTGTTCTTCCTAGAGATTCAGTAAGGATTATCTCTTATTCTCTCAAATACTACATGAGGACACCAGAATATCTGAAGGAAACCTATGCTGTTTTGTAAGTGAAACTACAAGTACTCTTCAATGTGAATGAGGCTACATTTTAGAACTGCATACCCCAGTCATATGTAAAAAGCACAATCATTGAAGTTGGCAGGTTAGCCAAACTTTTTTAAGGGATTACCCACTAGAATAGAGCCGTTACCTTGTCCTTGTTGTTACTTCAGGATCAGACCAGTAACCACTAAATGAAGAGCTGGAGTCCAACAACCCTTGGTGATTTCTTTTCTTACTCGACACAGCTGCCCATAGAGCAGGCTCCTTGTCACCTTCGTTACATTTCTCTTTTCTGGTATCTGACCAGCCAAGCAACTGAAAAAGAAATGTATGTTGGTAAGAACCTGTTCACACGAGGTTTGCCGGGCACCTGCAGATGGGCATATCAGTCAAGTGAGTTTCCCGGAGTTTCAGTAAGTCTACAGAAAGCGGATAGCGGGCAACATAATGTTTACATTTATATATGAGGAAAATTAAAGTACATCTCTAAATTCTATTAAATTGCCACTAAATAGATGGAGCTATCCAGTATAAATAAAGTTAGTTTAGTTTAGGTTTCCTCCTGTAGTAACACTGGATCAATAAGTGATGATCCTTACTGGACCTCTAGGAAGAACAGTTTAAAACTGATAGAGCTATCCAGTATAGTACTGATAGAGCTATCTAGACCGGCTCTTATATACTGGGCACATAGGAAAGAACTGGTAGAGATATCCAGTATCCATATTTTTCAAGAAAAACTATAATCATTCATAAAACAGATGGAAGAGATTTCATCCCAACCTCATCAGATTTAGTAGGAGTCCAGACCTTTCCTACGTCAGTCTCCTCAGACCTCTGCGGTAAAAACGGCGTGGGAGGAAAATCTCCGTTGGACCATACAGATGAACTGATATCTGTGTCAGCTGACCCGGTCCACACATCTGGGGAATGCTGTCTTGGAGAGGCGAGGGGGGAATGTGACCTCGGGGAATGACTCCCAAATGAGTCACCGCTACTCACACCGCTGCTACTAACACTACTCAAGTGTGGCCGAGTGTACGTGGTGTCGTCGGCTGCCGTCGAGTCTTCGATAAACAGACTCTTAGAATCGCTGTCTGTTTTTATGCTCGAGTCTGAATCCTAAGAAAAAAAGGAAAATGTCAAACCCAAGCTTTCTTGAGTTTATTGCGTTTCTCACTCATTGGTGAGCGGATTTCCCAACAGGCTATATTAGGGGCCATTCACAAAGGATATCCGGCCAAATGATGGATTTTCAGACCCCCCCTCCCCCCTTGTCGGGCATTGTCCGAATTAGTGACCCCCCCGCCCCTCCCCCCGGACATCCACCATGCCTCGCAAAAACTCACACAACCTTGTATATGTCAAGAGTAAAAAACATTTTTTTTACTTTTAGAACTTTTTTATAACTATAAATGTGAATACAAAAACATATAAATTACTAATTAAAACAAAATCTAGTGTTAACCGCACAGTCAAAATGCCAATTTCACAATGGGAAGGACTGCTCAAAATAGAGGGAAAAAGAAATTTGTTTTTGAATTTTTTTAAATTTCGGACATCCGGATTGCAAAAAAAAAAACCCCTCCCCCCTATGTCCGAGTTCGTCCTGATTTTCCAAACCCCCCTCCCCCCCTTGGCTCGGACATCCTTTGTGAATGGCCCCTTACCCAATAGACCTTTCCCCTTTTGAGTGAAAATTTTGATCTAGACCAGTCTGGACAAAAATTTCATCACAGCTTGAAAGAGCATCACAAAATTAGTAATATTCCGAAGTTTCGTTGCGAAATGTTATAAAATGCGGATAATATAGCCTTGCGAAGTTTGCCGTTTTTCAGTCATTTGGTATTACAAACGGGAAATTGATAATCAGATGGTCAAACTGATGCAAAATGTTAGATTGTAATGCAAAATGACTGAAAAACGGCAAATTTCGCAAGGCTATATTATCCGCATTTTATACAACATTTCGCAACGAAACTTCGGAATATTACTAATTTTGTGATGCTCTTTCAAGCTGTGATGAAATTGTTGCCCAGGCATATCTAGATCAAAATTTCACTCATAAGGGGAAAGGTCTATTGACAGGGGATCAGAGGTTTTAACGTCCTTATCCAAGAAGACGCAAAAGTCTATCCATTTACTGATGTCAATGTAAAGGTAGCTCTTTCTCTTCAAAGACCTTGAGGTTCGACCATGTACCAAACCCGGCTCTCCCAGCTTGAAAGGCAAGCGTGGTCAAAGACTTCAGAAATTATTGGGGGGGGGGGGGACTGTCCCTGCCCCCTCTACTGCTGCAACGGTGAATACCTCTGATACTATTTAATCACTCACTATCTCACCTCTATTAAAGAGTCGGGGTCATCCGGTGATCTTTTGATCATATAGCCAGTCTTCGCATCTTGGAAATGATGATGTGGATGAAAGTATGGAGTATGAATCAAGTCAACTCTGCCATCGATCAACGACCTCGAGCTTAACGAGCTTGGTGGGTATTGAGAGTACCCATTACACCTGTCAATATCTGGTATAACCCGCGTGCCAACGGGTCCGTAGCGACCCACATCGTTCGGGTAAAACTGGTTGGAAGGAAAGAAGCCGTTTGGTTGGACATATTGACCGCAACGGTAGCGCTGATCTAGCGCGTAGTTCAAGAGTTCGCTTTTACGGCGGCGTATTTCTTCAACGCGACGTTGAGCAGCGTAGTCGGAATGTCCATTCATGATCCCATTCATCCCGTTCAATCCATTAATACCGTTCAAACCGTTCAGGCCATTGAGAGCGGCTTCTTCCTCGACTGTAAGTGGAGAAGTACGTGTGGGACCTATAGTTTGTGGAAACATTAAATTTGGTTAAATTTCGATGAAAATTGGATTAACAAAAGTTTGTCTTGTTTTGCTGGGCAGAGTAATTCATTGTATAATCCGCGAACATTTAGAACTATATGCCTCAAGTGTAATTATGTACGTTGTCTAATAGAGGTGTGCAAATCCGATCCGAATCCGATCCGGCCGATTCGTTCGGATTTCGGAACAAAAATATTCATTTCGGATTGGATCGGATTGATAAAGTTGTTTCGTAGTCGGATCGGAGTTCGATATTCGAAATAAAATGAATTAATTATATAATAATTATTAATAATAATAATATTAATAATTATTATTTGGTTAAATATTTCCACTTGAATGATAAATTTATTTTATTAAAGGATACGGATCGGATCGGAATCAGTTCTTTATCAAAACTCGGATCGGATTCGGATCAGACAATTTCGGATCGGATTGGATTTTAAACATTAGCCAATTGTCGGATTATAAACTTCCAATCCGATCCGATGCACACCTCTAATGTCTAACATCACCAATATGACCTGATCGCAGGTCAGTCCTCACCTGGTCTTCCTACATTATCAATATGACCGTTCACGTGACCGTTCACGTGACCATTAACGTGACCATTCACATGACCGTTCACGTGACCATTCCCATTCATAGCAGAGTATCCATTAGTTCTGCCCATCCAGGAATAACTGAAGGTCTGTTCTGAGTTATGTGGCGGCGTAAGACAATCTGTGACTATGGGATTACGAAACCCATTCTCTTGTCCGTTATACATCGACTGAGGTTGAGCATGGATGTTGAGGTTACGTAATTGTTGCACCATCACGTCATGGCTATTGTGGTTGTTGTGCCCGCGATGAACCAACTGCGAACCATAGCTCGAAGTGCTCACTGGGTAATCTTGACCTGTGGACAGTTTGATACAAAACGTTTAGTACATTGGAACTCATGCCAAAAGATAAATGACTCCAACACATTAAACCAATGTGTTTTTTTTTAATTATATATTTATCGAAACGCGTGTAGTGTATATCCATTTTACCTAAGGTAGATTTGCACTACACACATTTTGCCTAAAACTGTCGCATGCAACCTGCTTACAACTTGAGTTGTACTGTGTAAATCAAACACACAACTAATTTACGACAACGTGGGCAAGTTGTGTGCTTGATTTACACAGTACAACTCAAGAAGTTGTACTGACAGTTTTAACCTGCATTTTATGGTTTGGTCTTACCATTGTTTTGCATGCACAATGGCGATGTTCGTATCGAACCATTTCGACTACTATGACCATTTTCACCAGGTTCATCATTATGATTTGATGGCGAGTATGACAACTGTTCAGCAATAACACCTCTCGCGTTCACCATCCCGTTACCTCCAGGTCGGGCTCCCTTTGCCTTACGACGATATCTAAAACAATCGAAAGCAAAATGTTGAAAAAAGATTTGAGTATCTTGTTTGATAGAACACAATGCCAAGGCCACACAAATTGCTGGCTTCAGGTTTCTGAACGACTTGTTAACCCATTAAACGCCAGCACTCTCCCCTTGACGAGTAAAATAATAAAGTAGGGCGCAATGGGTTAAAAATGTCTCCAACCATAAAATTTTCTTGACATAATTGAGAGTGATAAAAGACATCTATTTCAAGGCCACTACAGCTGTTTCAAGTATAGGCAAGAAACTATACCACAAAGATCATGTATTGCAAGCTGTTTGAGAACTTTAGGTTGTAGAGCTGTGCGGTTACAAAAATTTAATCTCGGTTCCGGTTTCGGTTCTTTTGGAACAAAAAAACCTCTGTTCGGTTCGGTTTCGGTTATTGTCAAAAAAGAAGAACAGTACAAATGTATTAACTCATTTATGTATGTTTCGAGCATTTTTACTAAATAGATGAATTTATGACTTTGTAAGTTTGTATAAATCTCTAAATATTTTAAAAGAACAATTGGTTATTTTTTTATAAAGATGAAATATTTCTTAGTTTTTAAAAAAATTTAAAGCAAGTTCACAACAATAACTATCACAACGAAAATATCAACTATTTGAGCACTTAGTACAGTGCATATTGCGCACAAAGAGGACAATCTTGTTATTTTCCAAACATTTCAACCTACAATCAGGTGGGCGTCTAGCGGGCGTTAAACGGGAAATTAAAACCGAAACTACTGGTTCTTTTGCGTATAAATTTTCGGTGCTAAAAAAAGTACCGGAAGAACCGAATTTTTCGGTTAACCGCACAGCTCTATTAGGTTGGCAAAAATCTACTACAAGAGATTTACACTTCAAAACTGTTAATTACTGTAAGAATTATCTGTCTGGCTGCAGGTCTACTTTCCAATCTCACTGGTTTACAATTAGGTTTTCTCAAATTCTACTAAGAACTGCCAAATAAAGCTTACTTGTCAAGTTCGTCCTCGGAATGTGCAAACGTACAACTTTGGCCTCTTGGACATGAACCTCGTTGAGCAAAGTCACGGCACATACTCGTTTTAAACTTGCTGTGAACAGGTTGCTCTGATGTTGTCTTTACTCTGCTCCCATGACTCTGTTCGAAGAAACAAGTATAAGAAAGGTCTGTGTATATAAAAATAGGTACGTAAGACGTTCATATACCAGCACTAAGGCCGCGTATACACTATGACGCTACGGCAAATTTACCATAGCGTAGTGATTGCATCCGGAGTGCCAAACGCTACGGCAAACCACTCCGTTATAGTGTAAACACAATACTAAGAAACGCAGTGAATTTTTAACGAGACTGATTTCCGTAGTTAGTACGCTACGGCAAACCACTCCGTTATAGTGTCAACACAATATAGTCTTAATTAATACTAGAAACGTAGTAAATTTTTAACGGAGTGTTAGCCGTAACGTCATAGTTTAACGCGGCCTAAGCTACTGATCTACTTTTTGGCAGGTAAAATCAATTTTAGCCTGCCATTTTATTCATTGAACTGCCAAAATGGCAATGTCTCATAATGGCATACAAGTCATATTGTAAAAATCAATGTTTTCATTTTTATTACTGTAAACTCTATCTAATGCCAGACGATTTTACTCATCAAGTGGAGAGTGCTGCCACTCATTGGGTTAATTCTCACCTTGGTAAAGTCAACAAGTCCTTGAACCACAGCAGTCACAGCTTTTAAAGCGTCTTCCAGTTCTTGCCAGGTCGGAATGGTGGCATCTGAAGAACACAAGATTTATGTTGTTATGTTTGTCATTTGATTAAGTTAGTAATTTGCTTCAATTCCTTACATGAGGCTTGAATCTGTATCCCACCTGGTGAGCCATCAATTCTGGACAAAAGTTCAAAATGTTCTCTTAAACGACCAAGCTGTGCTGGATCACTAGACCTCTGTAACGCAATCGTCAGTTCTTGGATACTCGAGGCAAAGGACTCTGGAGTTTGGAGCTAAATAGATATGAAATTTTTGAAATCGCAATGAAACTTCAAGTATTTTTAGTGGACGGCACAACAGCTTTTGCATCTGCTTTGCACCTTGCGAGGCAAACAGTTTAGAACTGATAGAGCTGTCCAGTATAAATAAAATTGTTTCCTCCTGTACCAACTGTATACTAACAAGGAATGATCCTTACTGGATCTCTAGGGAGAACAGTTCAGAACCATAGATATCTTATATAAACTAGATAGCGCATCTCTTTTAGTAAAATTGAAGCCAAAAATATTCCAGCGGTTACCCCCATTTGAATAGATGGCCATGTTGGAGTTTCCCACTCCCTAATAAACGCTTAAAAAACAACAATAACTTTCATCATTTGAATAGTTTGAAAATGTATTTGGAATAGGTTTAACTTGATGTTTAAGTTCCCTGTTGAAGAAATAGAAAACATACGAATCTTCTCATTTCATGGGAATATCCTGAGTCTGCAATCACGGCTTCAATTTTTGAATTGCAGAATAATTAGATGTACTATCTAGTGCATATAAGATATCTATGTTCAGAACAAATAATGCAGTTCGTTTTAGTTTAGTTTATCCTAGAAAACTGTGATTGATAAGGATTCCTGACAAATACAAGTATGTTTCCCAACGAAGGCCAGACCATTTTAGTTCAACCTACCTTGTCTATAATAGACTGCATATGTGACTTGTGTCCCTGATCACCATACAGTAACGCTGACCACTGTTCAGGAGATATACGCAAACCTGCTTCAAGAGCTATCTGGACGATCTGCGAGTCATGCTCACGTCTCAATGAGTCGTACGTCCGAAACTAAAAACAACACACATTGAACACACAATTTATCAACCCCTTGACCAATAAAATCATCTTGTAAGATGAGGTGCATTTGGGTACAATTTGGGAGGGTTACCTACTTTATGCTGAATTTGTGGGGGTTGTGGTGGTGGTGTGTGTGTGCATGGGTATATTGTAGGGAGGGAGGGTTGCACCAAATTTGCAGATTAGTGTGTTTGAAACTAATTTCCCACTCACCTGTTCCTTCAATTGCATAAGTGATGACTCGTCGTCTCTCTTCGTTACCTAGCACAAATTATTTACAATGTTGATGAATTTGGCGGCACAGCGGTTTGTGCACATTAGGGAGAACAGTTTAGAACTGATAGAGCTATCCAGTATAATAAAGTTAGCTCAGTTTAAGTTTCCTCCTGTAGTAACACTGGATCAATAAGAGATGATCCTTACTGAGTCTCTAGGGAGAACAGTTTAGAACTGATGGAGCTATCCAGTTAGTTTAGGTTTCCTCTTGTAATAACACTGGATCAATAAGAGATGACTCTTACTGGACCTCTAGGGAGAACAGTTAAACAAAGTTAGTTTTTAATTTATTTACCTTAAAACATGACGCCCTGTACAATAACTGTACAACATGGCCAATACTCGTTTTTGATGCATGTGGAAACAACTGCTCAAGCCGTTGAACCACAAACAAAACAATCACTTTCCTTGATAAAGCTTCACCTCCTTCTAACGTCAACAGTATGTATTTGAGAGCGTCTTCCTGCATGGCGGGCCCTAGAAATTGACAGCCCCGATTTCGTACAGCCGTCCAGAGATTCTGCGACAACTGGGCAGAATTTTGATGAAGGAGTATAAATTCTAAGACTGTCCTCTCACCAAGACTTCTAATTGCTCTCATAATGCGTGCACATCCCTCCTCTTCTGCTAATTGGCAGTTAACGAGGGTAACAAGCTTTCGATGCATTGGTCGAGACAAAGTACCGTTCGTTAAACCATTGCTGGTTGCCTCAGATGGCGAACCGTTTTTCGAAACAAGAGGGCTTAGAAACAACGCTAGTTCTTCTATAGATTTTTTTGCTGAGAAATACTGATCCTTGTTTTCGATAATCCTCGGAACATCTGGACAAGATGGTGTTGGGATCACAAATCCAAGAAGTTGAAGCAAAGCATAGTTTATCGGCAAAACATCCATTTTAAGGTTGATGGCAGACTGATCAAAAGGACAAACAGTCCGGTGAAGACTCGACAGGCATGACTTACACACCGTGTGACCACAGCCTAAACTGATTGGTTGTCTTTGGGTCTCGTTAAAATCATGCGAGCAAATTGGACATGTCAAAAACTCCGTCCATTGAGGGGTTGAGATAGGCATTGTTACTGGATTGCTGCTTTCTCAACGCATAACAAGTTCTAAATCAAATGAAAATTTAAAATGAAATCGAAAACCAAAAGTGAATTAACCATTCCGAAGTTGATGAGTGGACTGGGGACGAGTGTTAAAAAGTGCTCATATTAAGAAATGAACCAAATCACTAAAAAGACCACCTCAAAATTAGCAAGTATACAAAGTTTGGAGACGTTTACATGAATATCGTTTGAATATAATAAGCTTTCGAAAATTGTGATATTTACTATGAAATGTATTGTAATCTTTGTTTTTGGGGCAAACAATCTTTTAATCAATAATTTTGTGATTTTCGAAAGCTTGTTATTCGAAGGGAATTCATGTAAACATCTTCAAACTTTGTATACTTATTAATTTTGAGATGGTCTTTTTAGTGATTTGGTTCATTTCTTAATCTGGGCACTTTTTAACACTCGTCCCCAGTCCACTCATGAACTTTGAAATGGTCAATTGTTTATATAATCATGAACAGCCTCTGCTAGTGTAGGTAATGATAATAACACCAGAAAGCTATGGATTGAGAGGGATGCTGCTACTTGAAAAATACAAATAAAACTAGACGTTTCGAGTGAAGGCTCTTCGTCGGGAAAGTTAGTTTGGCTATGAAGTTTCACATGTATTTTCAGGCAGTTGCATCCCTAGGCATAAAAAAATACCTGTGGTTCTGGTTTCATATCGTGAAAAAATTAGGGTCGGTAGGTCGGAAATAAATTTTTTTAAAAATATTTTTTTCATGGTTTTGGCGTTTTTTTGCTGGGCGATTTGCAGTAGAGTCGCGACATCAATATTAACTAGAGATGCGTATTTCCTATGGACGAATTTGGTTCAATAATTAGTGTGACAACAGATGCCATTTTGGCACGCTGTATGAGCAGCCCGCAACAACCTGGAGAAAATAGGGTCACACAGTTAATCGCATTGAAAAAATAATAGGGTCGGCAGAAAAAAATAGGGTCGGTCAGGAACCACAGTTATTTTTTACGCCCTATCAATCTGAAGTTTTCATATTGTTTATACAATGTAAACAAGGTCTTAAATATGTCTGCATAAAGGTGCATGACCTAGGTTATCTCAAATTATCTGGTAATTGGAGACCTGCCAACCTTAGCGACTGATATAGAGGGAGAATTCTTATTTAATTAAACACTTAATTTGGTGGGAGAATTGGCTGTTTAGAGGGAGAAAACCCATCAAAGTCCTTTTCATTAGAGCAATCAGATTAGTGGCTCATTCAAACTCCTAGCTACACACTCGCAGCACAAGAAGACCTTGAATAATGTTAAATTGGTCACTATCTAGGACTGAAAATACAACATGAAGACATGTTTTAACAAATACTTTGACTTTCCGAACATTATAGAATCTAAAATGAAGTCATTACATTTACAATAAATGGATGAAACGAAACGCAGCCGCGCGTGGATATTTTTTGATAAAATTCAATAAGATCGACAAGAAATCAGGATAATTGCCAATATCGGGAGAAATTTTTCACTACCGGGAGATCACAGGTCTATACTGGGAGTCTCCCAGCTATGTCGGGAGAGTTGACAGGTCTGTAATTGGTCTGAAATGGTTGAAAAAGTTAAAAACTGTTCAAAGCTTTGAGCAAAGACCTTTCATCAGGAAGTTTTGATAACATACCTTGAGGCAAACATTAATGGGTAATTATGAAACACAATACAGGATTGTTTTAAATTGTTTCTACATGAATAATCATGCCAAAGGGCAATCATGTTACCCTCCCAATAAGCTTATGCTCTGAGGAGGCTAACATATTTTTAATCTCTATATAAGCTGGAAAAAACCCATGTTCATAAAAGACTGATAATCACCACTGTGTTGTAACACAATAGCAATCAATGTTTAATTTAACCAATGCTATAATAAAACAAGCCAAACATTGAATCGCCATGTTGGACATCCCTGCTTGTCACCACAGGCGTAACAAACCTATACATAACATTATGTCACAAAAACCTTGTTTCAAAGCTGTCTTTTGGAAATCTTTTCCATGTACAAATAATAGTATGGACAAAGGGTTTATAATTTGTGCACAATTGCACATATTTTATGACCGATTAAGGAAATTATTGCGCTGTAGTTTTTGTTGTCTAGTTGACTATTCTACCAGATTTAGGATTTTGGCTGTAAGACAAAACAAGGCAAAACAGCTTTAAGATAAAACGAAACAGCTCTGAGATAAATCTGAACAATGCAGAAGGTGGAAAAAACAATTTGTATACAATTTATATAAAATACATGAAGTTTATATCAACCTTGGTAAAACGTTGGCAAATCAGTAATCGAGTACGCATTAAATGCTTAGCTTGCTTTTTTAAAAGTGGCCATATGTAAACACAATGACACTAGCGTGCGAAATTTGGGCCGTTCATTGGCAAAAATGGGCAGATTAAAATATCGAGATCTTTATCTCAGACCTGAAAATAATACTCAAATACAAATCCCACTATGGCTCTGTAAACATACCACAATTTTAACAAGAAATGATGCGTTTAAAATGGCTCTTAGTAGATCTAACAATATCATGAAATTTAATACAAACGTACAGGGGAATCGCCACGAGAATGTTCCAAAATATTGTCCATTTCATGACTATAGTATTGATATTTACGTAAAATTTTGCCATTATATGGAAATATGTTAATAATACCACTGAGATATACAATATACAATTAATAACCTAAATTTCAACACAAAAGCATGACCGCCCTGGCACAAAATTTACAGAAAAACATCAAAACAAGCCGATTGTGTTTTTGCGAAGCAATAATATTTGTATTATGATGTGACCCAACAATTTGCTGACTCAATTTTACCACATTTTAATACGAAATATAAAAGCCCCAAACGCTTAAAGTCTTGAAAAGCTATCAAAATCAATGTTTATAAACTCTACAGACTAAACTAACACGGGAGGAAATGGCAAAGGGAACGTGTTTTTTCCCATTCCGTCCACGTCTGGTCGAAGTCTCAAGTCTAGTCGGGAAAAATATTCAAATTTCTGTTCATAAATATGTTGTCTACTTTATAGCCTAAATACTACAAAAAGCTAAATTTAGGGCAAGATATTTTCAAAATTTATCGTATTTAAAACGGTTGTTTCCTTCTGATCAAAGCAGAGCAAGAAAATAGAGCTAGTTTAGTTTGAGCGACGAATAATACACAAACAGGGAACTATTTCTATGGACCAAATGACAAACTAAACTCGTGAAATTCGCTTGCTCTGCTTTACGAAAACAACTCCTCTTTACTGTACTATACCTCTTTTAAACCACCCAAAGCCTTTAACACGATTTTGGACGGTATTTAAATCTTCTAGCCACCTTTATTCAACTTGCATACGAAGGCAAATTTAAAACAATACAATTTCGTTTATATAATAGAACGACGTGTACGTTCGACTCACAAAAAGTTGTCCACCGTTTTAGGGTGTTGCCAGCTTCCTTTGGAAGCAAATAAAGCGTTTAGGATCAGATCATAGACGTCTAGAGCAGCTGGAGTCTAAATTAAAGCAATGACTTGTACAGAATTCGCAAAACAGTGCTCTTCTAAGCATCAAATTTTATCACGCCATTGACCGGATAAAGACATGACGGCCTCAGCTTGTATCTTATTACACACCACGCACGCGCAGTTCGCGCCGTGTCCGGAATACTGCGCTGTGATTGGTGGAGAGGATGCATGTGATGTCGGCACGAATTTATACAGAACGCAAGTGGTGCATATCATTCAGACGCATAAATTCGTCATTTTTAGGACAAAAACACTCTGATATGGGCGTTTTCTACACAAAATGCACCCAAGAACAGGTGCTCGAGATAAAACACAACAGGTTGCAGCAAGAACGGCAGACGTATGCCTTTACAGCGGGAGTTTCGAGACAATTTTCCTGCTATTGTTTTCATCAAGAAACGTGTCCAGACCCATTACCCTTGCGTCCAAACATGAACCAACGATGTGTCGTTTACTGTCACTTAACTTCTTAAATCCGTAATTTGCGGTATGACCTAAAACCATAAGTATAAACACATATGGCTAGGTTTTAGCATGACATTTAAAGATACTGTAGAAATAAATTTCGGCTAAAAACGTATGAAATGTGGGGGCGACTTGCTAAAATCAACACTTGGAAATTCGTACACAAAACAACCTGCTTTGGCTGCAATATTAATAAAAGTCGCAACTGGTTACGATATAACCTAATTAAATATTTGTCTAAGTTTATAACTCCTAAGAAGATGTGAAAACTTCCCTATTTATTTTAAATAAACCTGTTGACACGAAAGTTTGAGTTTTCAAACAAAAATAATTACTCATTTTACCCTTTTTTCCGGAAATAATACTGGTTCAAGTTCTCAACTTCCTTCCCTTCTGACAAGTAAAACTCCCAATATTGTTTATATTTTTAGCTATATTTTAATTAATCTATGTAGTTTGAACAATTTGCACATTCCGTAACGTTAAAATACATGGAAAAAACAAAATAATACAGAGATATATAGAATACAAAATCAAGTAGAATGGGTTTAAGAACAGTTTTATTATTTTGAGAAATAGACACATTTATAACAGGCTGGAATGCTTAGCTTCACTGCATCAGAAATGTATGCGCAATACTGGCATAGTCAATACTGCCTCTTTTTCGTGAAAATGGGATTATTGTGGCGAGACAGTACAAGGCGCTGGGATTGGAAAAAATTTTAGGGTTATTCTATGATCTTGGAAGCATTCCAAATACTTAACAATCAGGATAAGCGATGGCTTTACATGTTTTTCCCCATCCGATTGTATTTCTAAAAAAATTACCACTCTAATAAGTAATATGTCCGATGGCCAAGAGTAGCCAAGAAATCGTATAAGCCCAACTGATTTCATGCTATCTAAGTAGTGATACCCCCCCATATGGAGTACAAAGGGATGCCGCCAATGACGTCACATTGCTCCGAAAGTAATTAGTATGCAAACTTAGGTGTCGGAAGTAATTAGTATGCAAGATATATGACGCAACTTTGCTGGCCCTAACCCTAACCCTGGGCCAGGTAGCGCGACCAATTAACGCGGGCAGGCCTGGGCCAACTGTGACAGGTAGCGCGACCAATTAACGCGGGCAGGCCTGGGCCAGATGTGGCAGGCGATCAATTAGCATTGAAACTAGTTTCTGGCAAATTTATAATAAAACGACAAGAGGTTTCTCATAGTTTGCATGTATAAAAGTATGAAATAGAAGTTAGTTTTTAAAACCTACCGTTAGCTCAGTTGGTAGAGCAAAGGACTGTAGTTATTACCAAATCAGTATTCCTTAGGTCACCGGTTCGAACCCGGTACGGTAGAAAATTTTTTGCCTTACAACCATGTAACAACGTGAGTCCCTCTCTTATTTTCAACACGCAATTGAAATTCGTGTTAATTTTGATGACTCGTTTTGAGCAATAAGTTTCCAAGCAGAAATAAAAAATATCGCAACAGAAATAAGCAGTTGCCAATCCCGGGTTGTCAAATCCGTTGTTATAATCGCTATTTGCATGTTGTTCAACATTATTTAGCAAACCTACATACATATATACGGTCAAGATGACCGAGTCAGATAGAATACTTGAAGGAAAAAACCTGTAGAACAATTTAACAGTCTTAGTTGTAATATTTTTTCTCTATTATTTGTATCAATAAACATGTTTTAAACTTTGCTGCGTTGTTATGCGTTGCTAAGTCATCAGGAGACGTGTAAGTAATTAAGGGGATTAAGGTAATACGAATTTGCATAACTACAGTCAAATCCGGTTCGCCTTTGACCTAAACATTGCTATAATGATATACAATTTTGCAATTTTGATTGACATTTGTGTCGTGCAATTTCCAACTGTCGAGGTAAATTGCTATTTGCTAATTGCAAATTTGCCGCAATTTTCATCTCACTCTAAGAGCAGACGGACAACTTTTAGTCAATGATTTAGGGATAGATACGCGAGTGTTTTTCTTGAAAAACCTATTAAAGAATACAGATTACTTGTCGAACGTATTAAATCTGCAATACCTTGTTTCAACAAATTGCACGACGACGAAATTCGAATTGCATATAAAGATGTTCATTCAGGATGTTTCATAAATATTCATGCAAATGTTGATGAACAATTTCACCTAACAGATACATTCAACAACGTATTTACAGTTTGAGCATACGATAGAATTACAGTAATTTGAAAGTTTGTAGAAGTGATTCACCGTTTATACATATTAGAAAGAAATCGTTAATTCGCGACGATCTCAACGAACCTACGTTTTGTTCGAGTGTAAATAACAAGGTGAGACCGATTGCCGCTTTCACGGAAAATGATGATACAAGTACGAGTACTGTACGTCTGCCCTTCCCAAACAAATTAATTTTACAGCAGATTTGTCCGAAGTTCAAGGTGGAAAAAAAACAATCGCAATAACAATCCTTGTTACGCCCCCGTTTACACGTCTTATTTTACCTGTAATTCTATCGTATGCTCCAACTGTAACAACGTTGTTGAAAGTATCTGTTAGGTGAAACTGTTCATCAACATTTGCATGAATATTTATGAAACATCCTGAATGAACATCTTTATATGCAATTCAAATTTCGTCGTCGTGCAATTCGTTAAAACAAGGTATTGCAGATTTAATACGTTCGACAAGTAATCTGTATTCTTTAATAGGTTTTTCAAGAAAAACACTCGCGTATCTATCCCTAAATCATTGACTAAAAGTTGTCCGTCTGCTCTTGGAGTGAGATGAACTTGCGGCAGATTTGCAATTAGCAAATAGCAATTTACCTCGACAGTTGGAAATTGCACGACACAAATGTCAATCAAAATTGCAAAATTGTATATCATTATAGCAATGTTTAGGTCAAAAGCGAACCGGATTTGACTGTA